TGTTACCTCCTAGTTATACTTGACAACATTTTACAACATTCATATTATAGGAACAAACAGTTTACATTCTACATAGTTTCATAAGTAATTCTAATGGCGAATGTGGTTAAGATTGTTGAGGTCAGTAAAAAGAACTGTCAAACACTTAGATGACCGACTGTTCTGTCTGGTGCACACATTTCCTTCCTTCCTGCCTTCCTGCCTTCCTTCCTTCCTTCCTTCCTTCCTTCCTTCCTTCCTTCATCATTCATACATCTTCTACTGCTTAGTTTTTTTGGGGAGAGCTGGAGCCAATCCCAACAGTGGGAGGAATGATGAATAAAATAAGAAAGTATATGTTTTGCCTTATAACACCTTGAGAGAGAGAATAATCAGTTCATTTTATGTTGGCCCAAATTATGTGTGAAGGACATTGGCTTTGGTCCAAGGACTCAGATGGTCCTTTATAGCACTGGGACCAGAAGCGTTTCTTCACTGCAGGACTAGGACAAGTTTTATTGTAGATTTAAAACTAATTGCAATAGTTCGTAAGACTTTGATGCATTGATACTGCACAAGAAGTTATCCATCCATCCATTCTACCCCATCTAAAACACAATGTCAGAAGTGTAAAGGATGTTATCCTTATTAATGGTGGTATTTTTTAAACACTGGTATTTATACTACTGTGGGTCAGTTACAGGTTTTATGTCTTGTTTAAGAAAAGACTAAAAGTGCCTGGTATTTACAAGTGATAGCAATTGATGAGAACAATGTCCTTATTTTTCTCTAACCCAAATTCTTAAGCAATACATCATTCATACCTGAAACCCAAACAGGGACCTCTGAAATGACACAACCAACATTACACAGCTGAAGTTTTGTTGTTTTCAAAGCTTAAACCCAATTTTAACCCTTCTAAAGGATTTAAAATGTCTATTGTTGCAACGAGGTAAAGCACAAAAGCCATCCTAATTTTTCATCCCCCCAGTGTCCTTCAGTGGAAACTGCAATTACAGGACAACGCTGTGGTGTCCTCCAACAGTTTGCTACACAACATGACAACTGGCAGGTTCACCATTGGCTCCCTGTATTCTCTACATATGAGAGCAGGTGCACAAAGAACACAGACATGACAGAATCTGGAGGTGCTGCAGTGAATGTTGTGCAAGCTGCAGCATCATCTAGTATGACAGGTTTTGTAGAGGATCAGTGAGGGGGGTGTCATATCCTTGGATGGTTGCACCTGTATTTGCAAGCCAAATTTGCTTTTTTTTTTTGTGACTGTTTTTAGGTATCAGGGTTGAATTCTTAGGTATCAGGGCAGCATTTTTGCAAATATATTCCAAGTGAAGGATCTTTATATTACCATCAGTCTTTTTAGTGGTTAATATTACCTCAGTAAACAATACCAGCCTGCAGAATTGGTCAGTAAAGGTGTACAACCAGCCAGTAAAAGTACAACTTGGATAAAAAGTTAACTTTTTATGCCCGCTACTTGTTTCACAATGACCTCCTGCCCATTAAACTTTTACCACATCTGAAATGTGTCGTTATCTGTCCTCGTCTCTGCGGTTTCTCCAGTCTAACTCACAGTAGAATTAATTAGTACCTTTGGTGAACAGCAGCGAAACAGAGGGATTAATAAAAGTCAGTGGTTGTTATTGACAACAGGTGTGAACAATAAGTCCCAGACACCGACAGCACAGCAGTGTGATTTTACAGCAGCTGGAGACGGATCTAATTTGCACCTGGAACAAATTAGGAGATTGGGAATGTTCAGACCCAGATCTTCATCATGAGGATTAACACTGCATGGAGAGAACATTTTAATTGAGTGGGCATTAATACTTTGAATACTTTAGATTACAAAGACATCACAGCTCAACTCAATCAACATCGTAGTTAATTTGTTCACTACTGTATGTCATTATTCCAGCAACAACATAGCTCTAAATGTATTTAAAGAGATGGTTAAAGGTTGTTGAATGTAAAGGGAACACAAGACCTTCGGGTGTAGTATGGTGGCTGAAGCAAGAGAGGGACAGAAAAGTAATCATGAAGAAAGAACTTGTGGCTAATTTGCACAGCATGTCTGTTATGTAGAAATGTGTCCATTTCAAACAGACGGCATGATGCAAACACAAGTTTTTTGTAAGTCCTTGCAGACAGACAACAAAAAGCACTGAAACCCTCACAGCAACCTTATGCATAACCACAAAGGGCTACATTGTATGCTTGAAACAGCTAGTGTTTCATCACAAAGAAAACCAGCAAATGTAGCAACACTTCGGTTTATTAGTGATTTACTTAGAGTTTTCAATATAGTATTTTGGTATTACATGTAACAGTGATCATCAACTGGTGGACCTGGTTCTCAATATAGTCCACTAAACAGTCCAATCCACCCTGTGACTGGATTCCAGAAATAATAATGTTACACAAAAACAAAACTTTTGAAATAATTTCCTTAAATTATTGGCTGTACGTGCTTTTCTTAAATGACAATGCATCTGGAAATATCCCACAACTGAAAATGAAAGCACTACTACTTTTTTCTCAACATAGTTAAATGGACACATTTTCCTACACTTATAGTTTAAACAACCATGACAAACAGTTAATGGTTCTCTTAAATTGCAGGAGAAACAACAAAATTTTTAGCATATGTACAGCCGATACAACAGCTTACCACCAAAGTCAAACTTAGCTCAACAGGGCTTTCTCACACAGACAGGACATGTAAAGATGTAAGTTACAACGTACTATTAAATGTTAAAACCTCAGATAATTACTATTAAAAAGGAATCCATTGAGGGGCCTCCTATAATGTCACCACTGATGGCAGGTCATAAAGGGTTATAAAACTCTGTGGCATCATAAAGTTAAAGACCATCAATAATTTATTATTTTCTTGCAATTTCAGCTATAGCTCCACCCTCATTGAAAATTGACTTTTCCAGTAAAAGGACGGACCCAATCATCCGGAAAATAGAAAGAAAAATACCAGTAAGAATTATTTTCCAACATCTCTGTAGCTTGGTCTGTTAGTGTCTTGATTCTGGGATTGTTAACTTACAATTTATTTATGCAAGTCAGGTCGCTGATGAATATTGCAAGCGCTATCAAAGTCACAATTTAATCTAATATGCAGAGTGCAATCGGGACCATCAAGGTCTTGTTTGGTAGTTATCTGTTTACTTTGACCTTTGACTCCATGCTCCTGACTACTTTAAATGACATGAATAAATCATTCAGTCAGAGACTCTTGTCTACATTCGGTGTCCTGCACAATAAAAATAATACACATCCATGTGCTTATGACTTTCATTTCAATACATTCAACATGTACACTAATACTGCAATACTTCATATAAGACCTAGTTTTTAACTGCTCGAAAGTCCAATAGTTTCAGTGCACACACAAAATAATTGCATCTTTTAAATGCAAGTCAAGGGGAGATGCTTTTAAATTAACTAAATACAAGACAGGATGGAATTACAGCTGCTGCTGGTGACCATGCATTTAAAAAAACAATGGTGTGATACTTAACTGCATGAATACACACTGTACATGCAGTTTGTGTCCAAATGTAACTAAATCACACAATATACCAATGGCCAAAACAAGACTGAGATGATGTACATCAATCATTTTTATGTTACAGTAATTACCATGTCAGTTACTTCCAAGTAGTTGTAAGTTAATGATGCTGGTGGATCAAATTAGCTGGAAAATGTTGAACAGTTTATGCACTGTGTTAAATATAAAACAGGAATTGCAGTGTACTTTTAAAACTGAAGTATCCATTTTTAGCAGCGACCTGGAGTTAATTATATTGCACGCATCAGGAAGGATGACACCGATGATAAATAGCTGGTGAAATAAAATGTCCTAATACACAATGTACAAGGTGAGTGGAAAGATGAGGGAGGACCATTACAATTATCCCAGTAAACTCTAGACAAGAAGAAGAAAATTATGTTGTTCTATCACGAACAATGTATGTTTTGGGAGTGCAGGTTTTTGTCACTAAACCTGACCAAATTACAATACCAAACCAATGACAACCAATAAACATTGAGGTACATATCTCCTATCATTTCTGAGTAACCAGCATATTGTTCCTACTTACCCCTGTGCAGGGGCTGCTATGAGTACACGGAAAATGTCTTGGTTTTATAAAAGCTGCTTCCTTATTTGTTACTGTGAGTGAGTCAAAAGCCATCAAAACTTATAGTGTGGAAGGTAACGTAGCTGTTAAATCTAGTATTGGTAACGTGGGTAATACAAATGCACCCTCATGACACGATCTTCTGAAATAGAAACAAAATCTATAAAAAAATGGATGGAGCAACCTCTGTTGCAGGCTTTGGTTGCAAAGCAAAACACTTAAGAAAGCCAAAAAAAAAAACACCCTGTAACTACAATAATTTTGTAATTATTTGGGCTGACATCTACATGTCAAATAATAATAAAAATGGCATATGGATTTTACACAATGAATCAAAGTCAATGTGATATGAATGTTGGGAACTGTATTTTATTCTTAAGTAGATCACTTGTTTGGTAAACACTAATGTCCACAGATATGTGCCCCTCCACACTGATGGCCTCCATGTGTAGCCTTGAGAGCAGGTATTAAAGCCGTGTAAACATCTCATCAACACTTGTGGCTGCAAAGGTTTTTACTCTGCTGTTGGACAAGTCTGAGCACGAAGTATAGCCAAGAGGCAGGAAAAAACTGGCAACCCAAAAATGTGTTACTGTGAATGACAATAACATTCAACAATGTTTCATTCAAATTCCACGTATGTTTTTCTCACTTTTTAAAGTTATTTTGAATAGGAAACCACTGACTTATTCAGCATTTTATAAACCAACACAGAGTGGGTTTAAAACTAGCATCTTTGAGTTCACAGGTCGCCGGTCGGTTTTAGGTGCATGTGCAGTTTTAAAGTAAAAACAACAACGCAAACTAACAAAACTAGGCTAGTGTTAAAATGGCTGAAACACTTACTTTTGAGTGCGTTGATGAGCATGTTCCCATCCTTGATGAGCTCCTTGATGAATTTATTGGTCCGCTCCAGCTCTATCTCATGGCATTTGATCCGCTCTCTGAAGTCCGGACTGTCCAGGAAAGAATCACTGAACTCCAGTGTGGGGAGTCCCATCGTGGTTCCGAGACAGTTGAAAAGCACGCAGCTTCAAACTTCACAGTTACTTCCCTACGTTGACGTTCCGGCTTCTCATGGTTTCGTTGTGTTAAAACCGTCTCAAACTTCTGCCCCCAAAACTTTTCCTGCTCTACTTCGTTCTTTACTTCCGCTTTTCACCTCCATCATTAAAGCAGGGGTGGTGTGACTCCTGCTGGTTAGTCTGTCACAGTTCCCCTCGTCCTGGTCTACATTATAAGACATGAATAAAAACACAGATATTCGTAAAAAACAAACAAAACAAAACAAACAAAAAACAGCTAACCATGAATGTAAACAAAACAAAATAACGAACTACGGCAGTTGTACAAGTTTTCCTCTGAAGCAGTGGGAGAATCAAGGGGTGTCCAAAATGTGTCGTGTGAATGTACCTGAGCTTACCACTTAAAAAACTTACAAGGTATATAGTTTGTTGCAGATTTTTGTGAAGAAGAAAAAAGCTGTTTCAAGTAATTCAAGGGAGTTACTAGTTACTTTATTAACTACTTGAGATATGTCTCGGTTGAAGTATTCAATAGAAATATAAACACATTAGTAAGCCGTAGTGAAAGCCCCCTGCAGGGGGCACAGGGAAGCTAAACGAAATAAAATGTAATTTAATTATGTGAAATGTAGTCCAACAGACAGTCAGAAAATGTTTGGTAATTAACTACAAATTAATTTCTAACTAAGTACTTTCTTATTTTCTTGGTTTCTAATAACCAATTGGAATAAATTGTGAATTAATTAAAATGCTCAGCAAACTTTTTTAAATCATCTCTTCAAATGTAGCTGACATGTTTTCTTAATTATGAATGCCCTATGAAACCTCTTTCTTATAATTTCCTTAGAAAAAGGGGGAAAAAAGGAAAAAGAAAAACCCAGCAGTGGTAACAAAAAGTGTCACAATTTAGACATTATTCACACAGAAAGTTTAAAGTCTTATCCTCTTCTGCACAGACTTCTTAAAACAGGTATTTAAACCTAATGTACTTCTTAAACTGCCCTTCTTTGTCCCCATAACTCTTTAAATATTCCAATTATGAACCATACAGCAATCTGGAGGGCACTGCATCATCCTGGAATTAGTCAGGATTTGACAAGAGAGGTTTGAATTAATATCTCACTAAAGAAAGTAATTAACCTACAGTCTAATTGGAATTGGAGTTGGAAAATGTGGTATTCCTTTCTCTCAGTGAGGATGGAAAACGATAATGATGTATCACTGGGTGTATTTTTATATTTCTGTGTACGAGGCAGCCGCTCTGTCAGCAGTGGCAGTAAGTCTTTTGATGGCTCTTTCTACTCATGGTGCTTTACTGCGTCAGGCGGCCGGAAAGAGGCTTTATCTTGGAGCTAAGTGTAAAAACAATCCCCACAGAGAGGAGGCTGTTGCAGCTCTGGCTGGAAGCTACACACACACAAATGAAAACACATTAATAATTTAATGCTTGGCTATCAAGAGCAGACCATAAGCTGTGTAAGTGTGGACAGGCTTTGGCTCTGCAGTGCCATTTGGGAGGGAGTTATTGTAATAGCATTGGTCTACGATAACTAACTAGAAACCTTTGCCAAAAAGCAGATCAGATAGTGTAATGTGAGTAACAAAAAGATAAATCACCTCAGACGGATAATCCTTAGCAGTGTCCTGTATTCCAGCAATGCCCAATGGCCTGTGGATTTACAGTGTATTTTAACAAACATGACATTTCTAGCACCATTATAGATAAATAAAACTGATGTGTTTCTTACAGAATTATGTTCATATGATAAATAACAACGAGCCAATATATTTAAATATCAATCATTGTATTGTATTGTATTATCTATAATTTCTTGACAATTACTTTTAAAATGATTTTTTTAAAGATGGTTTTTCAAAAAAAAAAATGTAAAATGCATTTTGATCTAATTTTGTGAAATTTGAGAAAGCTCTCATTTTATTGAGTTACTTCAGTGGAATCAGGAGCTAAACAGACCGTAAATGCTGTCGAAAGGTAGGGTCAATGGTGAACAAATATACGTGAGAGTGTAACCAGCTCGTACCATTTTGACCTTTTTGTAAAAAGGCCTTTTCCATGTTCTTCCTCTTTTCTACCGCGGCTCTTTCTCAAAAAACAAACAAACAAGCAGGTCTCTGTGACTCCACTGTAAGGCTTTATTTTCTTAAATACGCTACTTCAGAAGTAAAGAAACCTTAAGCTTTAGCTTAAACAGAACTGGAGAAAATGTGTTTTCCCCAATGTAACAAAAATCACATAATTAACTACAATAGCTTTGAGATGATGAGTGACATCAGGCTCCTGTCTCCCTCTGAGACTAACCATGTGCCACAGCAGCAGCCCTGGTTTCCCTGCAAACATGCTGTCATACATATTTACACTAATGAAATATGATTGCAGTTACTCAGGATATGTAAGTCTTTTATTGGTTTGAAATAAAATTATATTAAATCTGTCCAGGGATTGATTTTCCTCAGAACAACTGCCTCTGTAATTCAAATGCATCCATCATGTATAAGAGGGCAAGTCAAAAAGTTTTGAGACACATTGATAACTCTTTTTCTCTTTGTATTGATGATTACAATTTCAACCTGGGTTCTTACCTTATCTAAGGGTAGACAATTAGATAAAAAAAAATCAGGTTTGGAAAATTTGATATGTACTCCTTATTTCAAAATAGTATATGTAGTTTTGTGATTTGAGTCTAACACAGACTAACATTTACCAAGAATACATTTTTAACTGAATGTTTAAGAACAGATGCATATTTAAAATTCTGTCTATTTTTTTCAAACCTACTGTTTGTTTGTTTTTTTTTTTGTTTGCTGTTGGCTTTTTTTTTTGAAGAATTAACTTTGGAGAATGAATGAATAAAAAAAGTGAAAAGCTCTCTTGAAAAAGTTAGGCTTTATATTCACCTAATTCCAGCAGTATATTATATTTGGAGGTACAATAATGGTGTAAAAAAATGTATTGAAATTGCCTTAACACCACAGTGGTAGAGGCGAAATGGTTAGCTGTATGAAGCATGGCTAATTGCAGTCTCAAATAGCTGCCTTTGGAGCAGCTGAAGGAAAATCAGCTTTAATTAAAATGATGTTCAGTCAAGAACTGTGTCCCTGTGGACTGAGACCCTTATAAAGGCATTTGCACATATTATTCATGCAAATATAGCATAAGTCTACTGAGAAGCCATGCACGTTTTTCTACGTGACTGCCTCCATGGAGACCAACAAAGAGAGATGGCTGAAGGGTGCACACTTGCATAGGCTCCACTCTGTGCACAACCACTGTGATTGAGGCGTGTTTTTTCTCACATCACACGTGCAGGGTTGGAAATTGTGAGACATACAGTAGAGGACGCCTTCCTATGTTCTCTGGTGTGTCTCTTTCTTCTCCTGGAGAAGATTCTGCAGCGGCCATGGAAGAAAAAAACATGGCTCTCACAGCAGATATCAATAATCCATGCTGAATAAGCATCGATTTACTGTGTAATGAGTTGTGCTCAGTTAAGGGATTGCTGATTAGATTTCCCCAGATATTGCTGCATCATGCAGAGAGGAAGTTGGATGTGTTTGTTAGAAGATGTCTGGTCTCCTTGTGGGACAAAGATAAGCAATGGTGATTCCAAAAATGCTGCCATCATTTCTGGCCCTCGGACCATCATTCTGCAGAGGCGACCCTATTGGTGCACTCACTTACACGGACACAGCGAATGGAAAAATGAGATACATTAGCAATAACCTTGCCGCTCCAAGTTAATTGCCAGCGTTCTCTGAAGTACTGAACTGGGTTATTGGGAGAAAGACAATTACTGAGAGATGGATTGTGGAAAAATATAATAAAACTGGGCCAGTGCTCAGATTTCAACTTTAAGATGTTGCACCAATTCCTCATTTGGACAGGGATCCTAATATATATGTTTTTGGACATACACCTTGAGGGCCACATACTCATAATTGTCCAATCCAATTAAGGCCTGGATTGGTCAATTCAGCGGGCTGGATTTGGCCTGCGGGCTGCCGGTTGATAATTACTGCATTAGGAGATACATTCTGTGACACAATGCTGTATCCTTGTTCAGAATAACAGCCTTGAAGTAGTCATATCTAGTCCTGCAAAGCACATGCAAATACTCTTGTTGCTACAGAAAGCCTGGTTTCAACAATGGGTACAGATATTTTCCTCTCAGCTCATGCGGACAAAACCATGTTCTACCACGTACTTACATAATCAGGCATTCTCTGGGGCTTCCTTTTGACTGCCATGGGCTATTGCCTACTTTGCTATTCCAGTTACACCAGGACCTTTTGGACTCCTGACTGTGCTATAAAACATTAAATATACACCTGTGTAGAATCAGTTCTCTGTTAATTTATTATTTCATTTTTAAACATAATGCATTAAATGTAAAAATGAGACACACATTGTTGGTATGGTGAAGAGTATGTACAGTTTTCTCCAGTTATCAACAATAGTGACATGCGGACTCTTCATTCAAATCATATAAATTAAAAGGTAAATTACTGAAATTTCCAGGTGGTTCCAAGTTCATATTCCGGGGACAGCATTACAAGACAAGACCTGTCAATGTGTTTTCCCCAAGCCCATGATTAATGAGCACAATTTTTTTTTTCATCCAATCATGCGCTGACATTTCAGATCAGATGAGTCCTCCTTCATTTTTTCTCCTGTTTACCTCCTGACAGTGTGATCTGCCAAGTGGCAAGTGCAGGGCTGTGGTTTATAACTCCCATACCCAGATGACGTCTGGGCAGTAATGCATGATTACCTCCTCTTACCGTAAAGAGGCATCACTAAAGCATGCAGACGTCCACCGGGCTGGCTTTATGGCTTTTTATTGCACAGTGGAAATTTAGATAGTGAGTTTTTTTAAAGCCCAAGCTGCCTCTGTGGTACATAATTTGTGCCTGTGTCATGATAAGGACTTTCTAGTCCACACCAAAGATTCACACATGATGCTCGTGACTTCAAAATCTTCTTGGAATGTCTTGGTAAAAAGATAATTCTGTAATTTGGATCATTTTTGTACTTGTCAAACCTTCCGAAGATGTTAAAGTAGAATTATTGTTGCTGTTTTAAAATAAGGAAATCTGTGTAAAACTATTTTCAAAACTGTTTCTAAACAGCCCTGTGAACAGATTGTTTTTTGAGAATTC